GTGGGTTCGGCCCGGGGCGCCCGCGCCTGATTCCTGGGGCAGCTTCGGGCTGAGTCCCGGAGGAGCCAGGCCCTGCTCTAGGCGCCGTGGGCAGCGAACAGATCCCTGCCCCCGGGGAGCTTGCACCTAGGAGAGACAGATTAACAGGTCCCCTGTGGAAATTGCATATATATTAAAGACGATAAGCCACGGAAAGAAGCAGAGCAGGGAACAGGGTTGTGATTTTTTGTCTGTATTACGTAATTTAAACAGGATTAAACTCAGTCCTAGTCCTAATTTTTTTTTTCCCCCGGTACTGACATTGAACCCAGGCTTTCGTGCTGAACCACATCCCTAGCCCTTCTTATTTATGTTTATATTTGTATTTTGAAATGGGGCTTGCAGAGTTGCTTGGGCTGAGCTTGAACTTGGATCCTCCCGTTTTAGCCTCCCAGATTGCTGAGATCACAGGTGTGCACCCCCTCCCAGGCAAATGAAGAATGGTTGAGAGGGTATTTGGCTTGCAGGTGGTGAATCGGTTGCTTTTAGTATTGAATAATATCGAGACAGTAAATGTTAAGCCAGTTCTTGAGCCCTGTTATTTCATTTCACCTTTACAGCCCCTGGGAGATGCAAACTTAGGTTGCGTGTGAGTAAAGAACACTCAGGGATATTAAAGAAATTAACCAGGTAGTTCCGTTGAATCATGAATCATGATAGTAACATTTGTCCAGCGCTTAACCCGGACCAGGTCTGTGGCAAGCACTTTATAGACATTATTTTCACATAATTCCCTCAGCGAGGGTGTGACCTGCTCGTCACAGAGGAGGGAACTGAGGCTCGTAAATGAGCGAACTCTCCCAGGCTAAGATGTCAGTCTCTGACTCCACGAGTGATGCTTTTAGCTTTCCGCATTTCACTTCCACGCCCCGGTGGCCCAGGAGGCCGCTGCACAGGGTCGGGAAATCCAGGGCTCGGGGTCCAAATGGCCTTTAACCTACAATGTTAGGGAGCCCTCCTTAACACAGGGCTGCACTGAGTGAGGGTTAGGGCCGCCTCTATGTCCTCTTCTAGCTGGGCCACAGGGCAGTGGCACCTAGCTCACAGGGACAAGTGCAGTGCCCTGGCACTGAGCTCCCCCACAGCCTCTGGCATCTTCTGCATCTGTCCCCTCAGGTGATTGAGAACTGTGTCGCTGCTGCTGGATTCAGTGTAGGAGAATTCGCAGCCCTCGTCTTTGCTGGAGCCATGGAGTTTTCTGAAGGTACAAGGGAGAGGATTGGGCCTGTTCAGGATATTGTCTTGCTGGGCTCACTGGGGACAAGGGACACAACCAAAAATAATACTGGAGCCACTCAGGGTGATAGGGAAGGGAGGACAGGAGTGGGGATGATGTTGGATCTCAAGGACCAGATTACACTGTGATTTCCTTTTTCTTTTCTGTTTTAATCTCATGAAATCTGCTTAATCCCTTCCCTTACTACCTGTGAATTTTTTACCCCCTTTGCTGTACTGGAAATCGAAACCAGGGCCTTCATACTGAGCTACCTCCCAACCTTTCCTTTATTTTTTTCCGCCTTCCTTTATCTTTTATGTTGAGGTGATGTGTTGCTGAGTAGCCCCGGCCGGGCTTGGACTTCCAACTCTCCTGGCTAAACCCCTGGAATGCTGGGATTACACCCAGCTCCCTGTGCATTCTTACCCTCCTCATAACACATGTCACATGGGCAGATGCTTGTAAATGTACAGAAAATGAAAAAAGAGTGAGTATTTGATCCTTGCCTAGTATGTGCAAGGCCCTGGTTCAATCCCCAGCAGCAACCAAAAAAAACCCAAAAAAGAACAGTCTTGAACCATGTCAGTTTCTCTCCCTAAGATGTTTACTTCAGATGGTGTACACCTGTACAGTTGCTCTGAGGCAAGAAGATCACTTGAGCTCAAGAAGTTTGAAGCCAGCCTGGGCAGTAGGGTAGAATCCTGCCGAGAGGAGTGGGGGACTTATGTGCTATAGTTAAATACAGAGGAGGGACTGGAACAGACATTTAAATACTGATAATGATGACAAGGACAGACGCTCGTGTGGTTGCTGGTAGGAATGTAACAGTGCAGCCCCTGTGGAAAACAGTTTTGCCATTCCTGAAAGAGTTAAACACAATTGCCATAGCACAGCAGTTCTACCTGTAAGAATTCACTTAAGAGATTAATACATTTGTCCACACAGAAAAACTTGTATACAGAGTGTTACGGTGCATTGTTTTTAATTGCCGAGAGGCAGAAACAGCCCTGCTGGGGCCGGGGATTTATTTAGCTCGGTGGTGCCACCTCCTGCCTCACAAGCTCAAGAACCCGAGTTCCATCCCCAGTATCAAAAACGAAGGAGACAGCCCTGCTGCTCCCAAGCAGCTGGATGGATGAGCAGACTGTGCCGTGTCTGGAGAGCGTGATGTCTCTGTCATTAAAAACGGGTGCAACAGTGACTCATGCTGCAATGTGAACGAGCCTTGAAATGTTACCTGAGGTGAGAGGCCAGACCGATTGATCCCTTTTATATGAAACGTCCGGAATATGTGAGTCCAGCCCCCAGTGTCAGCAGATCAAGAGGTTGAAGCGGGTAGAAGAGGAAGAAGTGGGAGTGATTACTTAGTAGGCGTGTGGTGTTTTTAGTGGGATTATGAAAAAGTTTTGAAATGAACGAGCTGGTGGTTGCCCAACTTGCTTTTTTCTTTCTTTGTATTTATTAATTTATTTTGCAGTGCTGGATGTTGAGCCCAGGGCCTTTGCACTGAGCTACACCTCCAGCTCCTCTTTATTTTTAGTTTTTGTTTTGAGACAGGGTTTCTCTTAAGTCACAAAGTTCCCCGGGCTGCGCTCAGACTTGCAGTTCTACTGCCGTAACCTCCTAGAGTGCTGGGATTACCTGCCTGGCTTGGTGGTTGTACACCATTGTGAATATACCAAGTACCACTGAATCGTGCACTTTAAAATGACTAAGTATACTTTATGTGAATTTTACCTCTTTTTTTTAAAAGGGATTATTGCAATAAAAAAAATAAAAATACCAGAATGAAATAGCAGCTGGCACCCCCAGGGCATTTTCTTAGTGTAAGAAAACTGCTATCTGTATAGTATTGTATGTGTACAATTCGTAGACTAGCAACGTCTTTACAAGCTCCTGTTGAGTCTTTTCACTTGGCACATGGGTATAGAGTACTTACTTTTCGGTAGTACTAGGGATGAACCCAGGAGTGTTCTACCATTGAGTCCCTACCCCAGCCCTTTTTGAGACACTCTTGCTAGGAATCACTGACCTCAAACTTGAGATCCTCCTGCTTCAGCTTCCTGAGTAATTATTTGTTTTAATGCCCGTATGGCAGGCTCTACAGATGCTCTTTAGTACACATTTCCACCTCCTTCTGACCACAGACTGCATGTGTGTGTTCCACAGCTGCTCTGGGTGAGGGGCTGGAGTTCTGTTCGGAAGTACATAGGTGGGGCGCATCACGGAGTCAGGATGCAAGACCTACTTCTCACAGCCACTCCCTGTCACCATCATAGAGTCCCCTCGCCTGGCACCTGGGCCCGGGTCTCAGCCCCCAGCCTTGCCCGCATCAGGCTGTCTGGCCCTGAGTGGGACATTCCCACCTCATTTACAGTCATTCCGGTCCATTGAATGCACACACCTGTGTAGCATGTACAGCAACCCTGTATCTGGGGTCTCTACTATTCTTTCTTTTCAATATGACTTCTCTTAAGTAATTAGTAATAATTCCCAGTTCTCACAAGAGCCCAGTTAGATTGTAATAACTGAAAATGTAGCCTGGAAAGAGGTTCTGGCCTGGCCTGGCCTGGCTGAGGCAGTGTAGCTCCATGCCTGCCCTCTCTGCCCCTCCTGGGGCTGCTCACCTTGGCGCTGCTGACACTGGCACCAGACAGTTCTTTGTTTGGGGCGGAGCTCTCCTGTGCACTCTAGGATGGTCTTTGTAGCAGTATCCCTGGCCTCTGCTTGTCACACATGTGGAGGCTCCCTCTGTGACAGAATATCCAGTCCTCACGCACGCTGGGGCAGAATCACCGAGGGAAGCCCTGCTCCACGCCCACTTGGGTTTGGAGCAGGAAGCGATTTGGGCTGATGGGGACACTGACAAGGACAGCCCCCTGCTTTCCCGCGGTGGCAGTGACCATGGTACCTAGCAGATATAGGCAGGTACACTGTGGCCCCATTGCCTGTGGGGACCTGTGTCTGCTTTTTTTGTTGTTTTTGTTTTCTTTTGTTTTTGCTGTACCGGGGATTGAACTCAGGACCTGGGCCACTGAGCTAAATCCCTGGCCGAACCTGTGTCTGTCCTGGCAGCAGAGGATCTCAGGGTTCCGATCTCACCGCTCTCTCTGCAGGGCTGTATGCCGTGAAGGTCCGTGCCGAGGCCATGCAGGCAGCATCAGAAGCTGTCCCCAGCGGGATGTTGTCTGTGCTCGGCCAGCCTCTGTCCAAGTTTGCCTCCGCCTGTCTGGACGCCCAGGAGCACTGTAGGTCCCTGGGCATTGAGGATCCAGTGTGTGAGGTCTCCAGCTACCTCTTCCCGCACTGCAGGGTCATCTCGGGACACCTGGAGGTGGGTGTGATGGGGGCGCTCCGACTCTGCAAAGCCCCACAGTGCAGCGAGTCAGAATCCTGTGGCAGAAGGAGGGACAGCCCAACACTGGGAGGCTGCAGAGTGGGCTCCTGGAGAGTGAGCAGGGGTTTGCCAGGAGGTGGCATCCTCAGCGGAGAAGCAGGAATCCCTTAGAAAGGACAGGTGGGGACCAAGTGCGTAGCTCAGGACAGTGAGTGCAGCAGAGGGCCAGGTATTTGCATGGGGTTTTTTTGCAGTACTGGGATTGAAGTCAGGGCCTTTGTGCTGAGTGACATCTGTGTCCCCAGCCCTTTCTTAATTTTGACGCTAAGTTACCCGGGCTGGGTTCCAATTTGTGATTCCCTGCCTCAGCCTCCCAGAGTGCTAGGATTACAGGTACACATCACCATGTCTGACTTGGAAGCGATTCCTGCTCCCATTTCAACGCAAGGAAGCTGAGGCAGAGGAAGGACGGGCACTTGGAGATGATTGAGGCAGGCGTTTTTTTTTTCATTTTTGATTTGTTTTTGTGAGAGGGTCTTACTGTGTAGCCCAGGCTGGCCTCAGACTCACAGTGGCCCTCTTCTTTCAGGCTCCTGTGTGCTGGGACTACAGATTTCTGCCCCCTTTTTTTGGAGGCAAAGTCTCACGGTGTTGCCCACATGTCCTTGACTCCTCCTGCTTGAGCGTCCCAAGTAGCTGAGATTACAGGTGCACCCCACGGCACCTGGCTGGAGGCAGAACCTGAACCTGTGCTGGTCTCTGTCTGGCTTTAGTTCCTCCACACGACCACACTCACTTCCTCCTCCCGTACTGGGCCTGGTCCACACGTCCTCAGACACCACCTCAGTGTCACAGGCCCCACTGTGATCACAGTGACGTGACAGGAAGGACAGCTGTTCGTGGGGCTGGTTGCTCATTCCTGCCAACGCCTTCAGGAGCAGTCCAGAAAGGCCAGGGCCCCGGCTCCTCCCGTGCACACCTGCAGCCTGGGCTGGCTCCTGGAATCCCTGGTTCATTCTTTCGGGCCTGAAAGTGCTATGACCAGGAGCTCAGGTGAGGGCCCTTTTCTGTAGCCGGTGTGGAGTGAAGCTCCCAGGCCAGCTGTGGAGCAGCCAGCTGGACGCTGAGATGGTGGCCGTGCCTCCTGTGGCCCAGCCAAGGACTGGAGTAGGCTCAGCCACAGAATGAGCCCAGAACCTTACAGAAAGCATTTGGGACCAGATGCCACCAGAAGTACCTGGTCACCATCCACAGACACTGCCCTGAAGCCCATCGGCCATGGTGGGAAAGGCTAGGGCTCTAGGGTCCATAAGGCCCTGGCTTGGAGAGACACCCAGGGGACGTCCCTGTGAGTTGGATGCCATCCTGGGCTACGTAGCAAGACCCTATGTCAAACAGGAATTCTACTGAAAGTAAACACGCTTCTTAGGTGGTGCCCTCTCCTGTCGGATACTATTGAGCATCCCAGCAGCTGTGGGGAGTGGGTAAAATATGCCTGTTTCAGGGAGGGCGGCGCGCGGTGGTTCCGATGTGCGGTGACCAGCCCGGGCCAACGCCCTAGCCAGTGCAGGGGCTGGGACAGACCCACGTTTCCGCATTAGCAGCTCCCTGAGCCGTACTGTAGTCACCTTCCCTGTTGGGGCATGTAAGTGATCAGATCCCTGAAGGGTGACCTCAGGAACCCTGGATGTACAACCAAGTTTAACTGGAACTGAGAAGGCAAACTGAGGTGATCACCCAAGGCCAGGCATGGTGGTACACGCCTGTAATCCCAGCTCTCTGGGAAGGCTGAGGCAGGAGCCTTGTAAGTTTAACCCAGGCTGGGTAACTCAGCAAGATCCTATGTCAAAGTAGAAAAGAGGAAAAACTGAAAAGTGCTGGGGATGTAGCTTAGAAGGAAGGTCCAGATTCATTTCTCACTACTGCAAAAAAAAAAAAAATTTACCCAAGGCTTGGGCGATTAAACCCATGTGGGGAAGCGTGGCCACACACACATGGTGTGCTCGGGACGAGGTCTGCGCCGCTCTCCCCTGATGTCCATCTGCGTGACCCCTTCCCCAGGCCCTGCAGTTCCTACGGCAGAACGCCCCCAAGTATCACTTTCGGCGCACCAAGATGCTGCCCGTAAGTGGCGGTTTCCACACCCGCCTCATGCAGCCAGCTGTGGAGCCCCTGGCACAGGCTCTGAAGGCCATCGACCTGAAGCAGCCACTGATCTCCGTGCATGCCAACGTGGATGGGAAGAGGTACATGCACCCCCAGCACATCCAGAAGCTGCTGGGGCGGCAGCTGGTGTCCCCGGTGAAGTGGGAACAGACCATGCATGCCCTGTATGAGCGCAGGAGGGGCGCTGCCTTCCCCAGGACGTGGGAGGTCGGCCCCGGGCAGCAGCTGGGCAGCATCCTTCGCAGCTGTAACCTGCAGGCCTGGAAGTCTTACGACCATGTGGACGTGCTGCAGGCCGTCGAGGACCCGGGCCCTGAGGAGTCTCTGCAGTGACCCCACGGGCCAGAGCAGGGGCCCAGTCTGCAGCTCCTGCGCAGGATGGAAGGATTTTCACCTGGTGCTTTGGAAAACTAAGTTTCTTCGGTGACCCAGCCCATTCCCACCCAGAAACCTGTCAGGCGGCTGGGGGAAGAGGCCAGTGTGCTGGTTCCATGGAGCTGGGTGCGCTGTGCATGTGTGGGTACCAGTGCCAGCCCGGCCAGGGCCTCAGCTCCTCTGTCTTTACGAGGCTTCCAAGCCCCACCAGCCTTCTCAGGCAGCCTGTCCCCCCACGACAGCCAGGAGTGGGACTTCTGTTTCCTGCACACGTCCAGGAAGGACGTCACGTGCCTGCTGTGTGCACAGAATCACAGTAGGGAGGTCCTGGAGCCTGGTGTAGTACGAGGATGTGGCTGGGTCCAAGCTGGGGCCAGCCCAGCTTCCCCGGACAAAGTTCCTATGCAGGTCCTCCACAGGGCTGCTGCCGAACACGCCGCCCTCGTGTCTCGTCTCATTGGTCTGGTGTCTTTTGATGCTTCCATCACACAGTGCGGGTCAGATCCCAGGGTGCTTCTCGGCAGGGCCTTCCCGGCCTGTGGGTATGTGGAATGTCCCCTCTGTGGCAGCTGTCCCAACACTGGGCCACTTCATACCTGTAGCACTTCCGGGCACTATGACTCCAAAGCCCCACACATTTCCACACAGCCCTGGCTGAAGGCCGTTATGGGTTTTAGCAACACATTTTTCTGTGTGGCCTCAGTATAAGCAGGAGCATGGGGGCCGGGCATGGTGATGCACGCCTATAATCCCAGCAGTCTTGGGAGGCTGAGGCAGGAGGATCACTGTGAGTTCAAGACCAGCCTGGGCTACATGGTGAGTTCCCAGTCAGTCTCAACTACATAGTGAGACCCTG